CATGCCTACCAGGTTCTGGATTATATACCTGGATGAATGATACTACATACTGTGAGAGGGAAAACTGGAGGAGGATGAGTCCTAGGACTGAGAAAGACCAGAGTTCCGCTTTGGACCTGTTCAATTTGAGTTTTCTCTAAGGGGAGATGTTTGGTAGGCAGTTGCATATGCATATCTGAAACTCAGAGGAGAGCTCTGGATTAAAAGTAATTTTGGAGTTGTGAGTCTATGGCTCATAATTGCAGCCATGGATATGGATGAGATCATACAGGGGAGAGCACAGAGTGAGAAAATGAGAAGGTCTATGTCCAAGCTTTCAAGAACTGCAGAATTTATGTTAGGCACAGGAGGAAGGGATGTAAAGATAAGAGGAAAAATCAAGAACACATAGTATCACAGATGATAGTGGAAGGGAGAGTTAAAAGAAAGGCAGTCTACTGTGAGATGCTGTGAGAAGAGATAAAAAACATTTGTTGAACTTAGCGATATGGAGGTTACCAGTGTCCTTCCAGAAAGCAAAAATTTGCTTGTAATTTTAAGAGATTTGTAGAGTTATCCCATCACATATCCCTGAAACCCAGGTTAAAAACTCCTACCTGTGGTTTCCTAAAAGCCAATGAATCAGATAACCTAACTGGATTCAAAATATTAATTCTTCACCATCTCAGAGACAGGGAAAATTATTTAGTTGACCTTAAATTCAGCTGCAATTATGTGAGTTTTTAATCCCTAAGCAGGCTAGTGGCCCAAAGAAAGAGAGTATAATAATACAAAGAAGGTAGCTTCTTTATTTTCCTGTAAGAAAATCTGCTCCTCTACAAACGTAGAGAGCATCAGATAAATCAGTTTCAGGGAGATGGCTGCACAGTTATGAAGCTCTGCCAGGTATCCCTGATCTCGTTTCCAGTCATGGTCAACACTGGCTTCCTCCTGCCCTGGAAACTAATCTTCCTGTTTGGACTTAACTGTATTATTCTTAACTCAAACAGAGATAATGGACAATGAAATGAATAAAAGCTGGGGATTCCTGAGATGTGATTTCAGAAAACTATAGTCAGAAATACGTAAATTTGATAAAATAAAACCGTAAGACTCCCAATTCCGTGCAATGAGCGCTCTTCCTCCTGACCACTCAACCACTGATTGCCAGAAGCCAGCAATTTTATAACTCTGCCCCTCAGACTCTTCTTTTTAAATTGAAATGAAGTTGATTTGCAATATTGTGTTAGTTTCTGGTGTACAGCATAGTGATTCAGCCATACATGTATGTATTCTTTTCAATGTTCTTTCTCATTATAGGTTATTACAAGCTATTGAATATAGCTCCCTGTGCTAAACAGTAGGAGCTTGTTTATCTATTTTATATATAGTAGTTTGTATCTGCTAATCCCAAACTCCTAGTTTATCCCTCCTCCCTTTCCCCTTTGGTAACCATAAGATTGTTTTCTATGTCTGTGAGTCTGTTTCTGTTTTGTAAATAAGTTCATTTGTGTCATTTTTTTAGATTCCACATATAAGTGATATCATATGATATTTGTCTTTCAATCTGTCTGACTTACTTCACTTAGTATGATAATCTCTAGATCCATCCATGTTGCTGCAAATGGCATTATTCCATTCTTTGTC